AAATGTTGAAGAGGATGGACAGTCGCAGGCAAAGGAAATAAGTGTGTGAATGTCTGGAAATGCTTGATGCAAGGAGTAATGAGAAATAAATTAGAAAGGCAAGCCAGGAGCAAATCATGAGAGGGTCTTAGGAACCATATTAAGGAGTTTGTATTTTATTCCATGGGCAATAAAATTGAGGAAGTAATATATCAGAATAGCAATTTGGTAAGATGATTGGCAGGTACAAGTGCAAATGAATGAGAGGTAAACTTGGAGGTCAAGAGAGACTAGTCAGGCTGTTACAGTAGGTGACATAATTAGGGATGGTGGTGACAGAGAAGATACATAACAAGATATAGTCGATAGAGATTTAGGAGGTGGAATACACTGGACTTGGTAACTGGAGAGGAGGGAGTCCAGGATAACTTCAGTCCTGGCTCACTGACAAAAGGACCATTAGAGGAGGAGCGGTGTGGGAGGGTGAGTGACACAGCTTGGGACATAGGCAGGGAAAGGACCACTGACATGGTTGGAGGGAGGGATTGATCTTGTATTTGTGAAAGGAGACCTCTTCCGCAGGAAGGAGAAAAGGGCGGCTACGTAAACAGATCTGAAGGTCTGGTGCCAAAAAGTTGAAAACTTTTCCTTCGTATGGCATCTGTTTTCTCTTTGAAGTAGGTGACAACCCTGCTCAGGGTGATTGGGAAGCAGAAGGAGTGTCAGCATTCTTAAGAAAAGTATATATGGCTTGAAGGAGTCATCGTGAAAAGTGGGAGAGCTTTCCAGGGAAAGCGGACATTGTCAGACAATCTTGAAAACATTGTTGAAATCAATGACCTCAATGTTACAGTGGCCCCAGTCTGCAATGTATGTGTATTGGGTTTTTGTGTGTTTTTTTTTCTGAAGATGATTGCCAGAAAGAGAGTTGGATTCATCAGTTGGGTTCTGGCTGTATTGTGGTTTCCAAGAACTATCTCTAGGGAAGACTGAATCGTCTTAGTCTCTTAATCCCATCTCTCACTTGCCATAATGCTAGTTTGATGGCCCTTTCTCGTTCAGTCCACTCCCGTGGGCTCTCCTGGATTGTCAGAACATGCAGATGGATCTTCTTTGTTTTTAAGACTTTACATTTCACCTCCCATAGGCTCGACGACATCTTGGTTTTCTTGCTTCCTCAGTTTACTGCAGTTCCTGCTTTTTATCCTGTTGCACCTGAGAATGTCTGCCCTATCCTCATTTGAACATGCGCAGTTATCCTTTATTGTGTCATCTTTCAGATCTAGAAATCTTCGGAGAATTCTGTCAGAGATGATTCTGCCGTGAAGGTTGTGTAATTCCAAACAGAGGTGGCCAGGGGAGGCTCTTTGGGATTTGACTTTTTACCTATCCCTTTCATGTCGGAGTCATCGCATCTGCTTCATTTACTTAGTTGGCAGGAATCCTTTTTCTTTTAAAGACACTTCCCTCAGATTAAAAAT